TTGTATTTCCTGTATTGGAAAAGGATCTCTCTGAATAATTAGATAAAATATAAAAAAGAATATTTAAACAAATAATAATATGATAAGTTATATTCTGATATAATTTATTATACCATTAAAATAGTTTATATTGTATTATCAATATTACTGAACGGTATCAACAATAATAAATGAAGAGTAACACAAATAAAAAAGTCAAAGCAAATGACATAAGGAAAATAATATAATAACAAGTATAAAATAATGAATAATAACAAAATACAATTAAAATAAAATAAATACAAATAATAACATAAACATAATAAATAATAAAAGGTAAATGATATACATATAATCATCAAATAAGTTTCAAATAGTTGATATATTAAATTAAAATAATGAAATAAATATCAAAGTATTTTGATAAAACAAATCAAAAGAATTAGATAATAATAAAAAATGAGTCAATATTATTTAATAAAATAGATATAACCTTAAAATATACATATATTCTAATAAAAAAAATAATAAGATAATTAATCTCTAAAGAATAACAAATGATAAATTATAATGCTATTTAATTAATTAGTTATTAATTTGTTATTAATAATATTCTTGATGGTGATGAATTTTTTTATTTAAAAAGATCTGATGGTAAATGTTAAAAAAATAAATAAATTTAAATTTCATTAAGAAAGAATCGTTAAATAAAAATGTGACATATATGACTATCGATGATCAAAGATCTTTGAAGAAGAAATGAGACAAAATTTAATAGATGTTTATTAGACTAGAAATATAAAATAATATGTCTGCTACTATTGAAGAACTTAAAACATGTTCAAATCAACAAGAATTTGAAGCTGCTGGTGAAGCAGCTAAGAAATGGTTTACAGAAGTGTTATCAAATGGATGGACTGAAACAACAAAAGGGGAAGTTACTATTTATGATAAACCATCAGTAAATAACCATCACTTTATTAAAACAGTAACACAATCAAAACTAAAAGCAGAAGACATGTTTAATAAAGTTAAAAGTGCCGATTTTGCCACTAGTCATAAATATGACAAAGAACTTGTTGAATCCGAAGTTCTTGAAACAATTAATGAACATCTTAAAGTTACTAAACAAGTAAATTCCGCACCATGGCCTGTTGCAGCAAGAGAATTTGTTTCAGTTTTAATTGATTATGAAGAAAATGGAAGCTTTTATATTGTAAGTACTTCTATTAATTATCCAAAATGTGATACTGTTGGAAAGAAATATGTTAGAGGTGTTAAATTATTTGGAATGAAATTTACACCAAATGATGAAGGTTGTTTAATTGAGCGAGTACTTGAAGTTGATCCAAGAGGTTCAGTAATTGCTATGGCAGTCAATGCATCTAAAAAAGAAGATGCAAATAGACTATTAAATATGAAGAAATTTTTTGAACAGAATTAAAGAACAAAGAAGAATTTGTTTAAAATAAAGGAAATAATTTTAGTATAAAATTATTGAAAAAAGGTTTAACAACTTTTAAATTTTTATTAAATAAAATATCTAAAATACGTTAAAAATCTCTTAATTTCCATAAAAATCATTAGATTTTCAATTTATTTAATAAGAAACTGCGTTTAATAAGTTTGTTGTTGTACCCTAAATCTAAATCTGTCAGTTGTTTTTTTACAATAAAATTCCAAGTTTAGATAAAAAATGCTGAAATACTCTAAAATATTATTCTATTTAAAACTAATTTCTTTATTATCTTGTATTCATTCCTTCTTTATATAAAATAAATAAGAAAGAACTTTTTTATACCAATTCAATGATGTTTTTAAGTATCTGTTGGATATTTTTATTTATTTCATATTCAAATGCAGAGTCTGGTCCTTGTGTAGTTTGTTATATAATTTTTTGATTGATACATTAATTGAAAGAGTAAAAAACTCAAATAACGTTATAGAATAAATTAGTTCTTCTTAATAGTGAGAATAGTTTAGTTAAAAATTCTTCTCTTAAAATGTATGATTGTGATACCGAACTAATAGCAAATGGAATACGAATGATTGGAAAAGAAATGAAAAGAGAATGTTATGTTCATTCTGGAATGATCTTTAAAAAAAAAGGAGAAAGACTTATTTCTAAATGTGGAAGTTGTATTAATATGGTTGGTCCATCACTTACTGAGATTCATTGTATTATTGTAGGATTTTTTAATGTTACAGATCAAGACTCTCCATTGTATGAAATTCAAGACCATGCAGTAGTAAGTGATTATGAATTTTTTAAAATTGCTGCCACAACAACTCCTTGGTCAAATACTGAGTTTACACAAATAACTATTTCAGAAGCTACATGTTTATTTACTGTTTTCCCATCAATTCATATTCTTAAAGAAGAAAAAGGAATTTCAACAGTAGCAGTAGTTAATTCAAATGATATTGTAGAGAAAATTATTTATAATGGGGTAGAATATTTTCAGAACGGACATTATTTTGACATTCCATTTAAAGATACAACTGTATCTTTTCAAATAGTTTCAATTACTAATAAAATACTTAAAGTAAATAATATGAAACTTAGTACTAAAAAATTTGTACTTGACCAACGTTTTCCTTCTACCTCTCATACTTTATGTCAGTTCTCTTCTACTTCTAAGGTTTATACTTTTGATGGATATGCTGATATTTTATGGATTTTTCAATGGCATTTTGTTGAGTTACAATCCACTGGATTTGTAAAATTAACAGATGAAGAAGTGATTAATAATGGACTAATTTTACATTCTATTGATGGTAAAGCATCTCTTATTTCTTATGCAACAACAGTATTTAATTTTGTTATGGCTTATAGAGAGTTAAGAATAGAAGGAACTTCAGATGCAGAATGGAATTTAACTTCATATAAATGGGGAGGATATAATTATGGAACTGATAGTTCTCTTGTGACATATCCTCCTTGTGTAAGTACTGGTTTCAATGAAGAATCTAAATGGATCAATGAAACAACATTCCAATTTAATATATCTATTACTGTATCAAAGAGATGTTCTTATTATTTAAATTCTATGCTTCTTAATTTCAAAACAGATGGAAATAGAATTCTCAAGTTTTCTAATATACGTTTTAAAGATTTTGAAAATAAAAAAACATGTAAAGTAGCGTCTTTATATTGTGATGGGATGGAATGTAATGCAGATTCAGAGTCTGAAGATGCTAAATGGAAACCAGAATGTGTTCCACGTTGTGGTGTATGTAGAGTCGGATATAAATGTTCAGTAAAAGGAAAATGTATAAAAGAAGAAGAAATAAATACAAGAAGTGCATGTAAACATATTTCTATTATAACTCTATTTGCTTGGTTCATTGTGTTAATTGTCTAAAACTAATTTAAAATATAATAGAAAAATGAATGAATTAATTTACATTTTATTGTTGAATTTTTTTTTATGTTAAATAAATGATTGACCTATTTTCTCTTTTCTTGTTGTAATTGCTCTACTAATTGCTTGAAGAAGTGTATCTGCAAGAGAAGGTTCTCCAGACCTAACAATTGCAACAATAGACATAAGGTCTTCAAGGTCTTTACAATTTAACATTATTTTAAGTTGAACCATAAACATCATATCCATTTCTTGAAAATATCCAAGGTTCATAAAAGAGAAGAGTATTCTTGATTTCATTCTGAGCCACTCAACCATTTTTAATAATACTGCATCAAATATTTTATATTCACCTCTTTCAAGATTACTTATTAAAACTTTACGCCAATCAGTAAAAAGATTTGTTCCATCTATTATTTCCATACCTGATGGTGAAACAATCATAGACCGTTCCATATTACTATTAAATATACTAAGTAACATTGAAGAACGTTGTAAGAAATAGTCATATGTATTAACTTCTTCTGACAAATAAACCTCTCCATTAGTTAAGTCTATAACACAATATGGAAATCCCATAAGTGTTTCAAGTGAACTAGGTATTTCCATCATAAAAGAAACATCAATTAATGGATTAAGAACAGAAACAATAGAATGTCCAAATACAGTCTTTGGTTTATAAATACTAATAGTATTAAAAGGAGATAATAACCTTCTTATTCCATTAAGATTTCTTCCATCAGAAGGAATAACAATAGTAGTAAATGACATTAAATAACCATAAAGTATATTTTCTATTATTTCATTAGAGCATTCTTTAACAAAAGAGAATTGTCCTTCTAATTGAATTCTATTACTTTCATCTAAATCAGTTTGAGAAGTAGTGTTTATTTCAACTAATGGTTGTTCTGATAAACGACTTAATTTTCTTCTTAATAAAATTTTACCAGGAGTTTGTGTTATTCTTTGATTTGGGAGTTGATCTTCATCCATACTAAAAGTTAAGTCAGACTCACCTGATAAATTAAGATTAGAACAACTTAAATTTAAAGCTTCTTGAGATAAAAGTAATGAGAGATGTTCAGAAGGTTTTCTTTTTAATCTATTTTTCTTTTCTTTTTCAAAAGTTTTAAGATTTTCTAATCTTTTTCTATAATCAATATCAATAGTAACAATATATTCTTCTAAACATTGAACAAATGACTGTAATCCAGTTAATAATGTCACTTGACTATTATCACCTTTTCCTTGAGTAGAAATATGTTTTTGAACAAAATTCCACATAAAAAAATTTATCATATCATATATTTTTTCATAATTTATTTCCCCTTTTTCTGGAAGTAAAAATCCAATACTTACTGAAATAAATCCATTTCCTGTAGTTTCTATGAATGGAATCATAACAGAATAAATTAAATGATCATATTTTACTGAATCAAATTCAATTGTTCCATAATCATATAAATAATACATTGGCACCATTCGTTGCATTAATTTTAATGAATCATTTGTTTTACTACAACACGTTTCTAATAATGGTTGTTTTCTAATATATTGTTTAATTACATATCCTTGAATTAATTCATGCATTGTTTGAACCCCATGTGGTCCAGTATATTGAAGATCAACACGTGACATTGAAGTTGAATAACTAAAGATATTAATAAGTGTTAAATACTTAATTTTTACTGAAGGAACAAATTGATTAACTATAACATTAATGTATTTATTATATTTCATATCTAAACATTAATATAAAACAAACTTGATATTTTCCATGGAACTTTAGTTAAATATAATCCATCGCAATGTTCCTCAAGTATTTTAAACATTTGTGACCATAAAAATCCCCAAAATTCATAAATATCTTTTAATTTTTGTTGTTTTTTCTTATTAGAAAATATTATTTTCTTTGATATAGATGGTGACCCAATAAATAAATCAGAAGTGGAACGTGATATGTTATAAAAGCTTTCACTCATTTTGAATTTTCCAGACTTAGAGAATTTAAAATTTATTTTTTGGATTGTTCAAAATAACAAAAAGAAATATGTTATTTTTTGTTATTTTAATGAAAGAAAAATGAAACTTAATGGAATTTTCTAAAATATATTTTAGAAAAATTTCAAACTTAAAAAACTTGAAAACTAAAAGAAGAAAATGAATTGTTTATTCATTTTTGTATTTCTTGCTATTGCAAATGCTGAATGTGGTGAACGTAAATTGAAAAAGTTTCTTATTGTATTTAAAGATTGTGAAAATTACTATGATCCATGTGATTGTTTGAAACGAAAAGAATATTACTTAAAAGAAAACGAGTGCAATGAAACTGAAGAATATAAACAAGTAACTTCGGCTCTTCAAAGTTGTGGTGAACCAAAAGAAGGTTTGTTTATTTTATATTTAAATTAACTTTTATTCATTGTAAATAGGAAGTTGTTTGTATCAAAAAGATTATGAGTGTAGAATTGTTCATAGTGGATGTCTTGATGTTGTTTCACTTGGTCTTGGTGGATCAAAACAACACTGTCTTGAAAAGTTTGCAGAATGTTTAAAAAATGCTCATTGTGAAAACTTACCAATGTATCAACAAGCCACAGAAATTCTTACCCATCCAGACCAATATGCTGAACAATTAAAAACTGTTCCACAAAATAAAGATTCTCAACCACCAATGGCAGATCAACCAAAAGAAGATCAACCAAAAGAAGATCAACCAAAAGCTGAGTTATAATTTAACCAATTCCAATAACATTTTTTTTATTTAATATTTTTTGAATTTATATGTTATATTTTTCTTTTTTTTACAGAATTTAAATGTTTTTATAATTTATCAATAATAATTTTCTTTCATCATTAAATACTAATATATATGTTGTTTCCCAATTTGATAAAAATGCTGAGGAAGAAAAAGACTAGTGTTACTTTTTATAACCAAAAATAGAGTTTAATAAAAAATAAAAAAAACTATACAAAAACTATAATCATAAAAAAACAAAAAAAAAAAA